ACAAACAAACAAAAACACGGACACCCGTGAAAGAAGTGATAAAACACAACAACTTAACTGAAAGGTACACAGCTTCCCAAGGTTATTTCCCAGCTGATAACCTTATAGCAGAACAGTATAATTGATAGGATATTTGGGATTCTGCTGATGTACCTACAATAGAGGACAAAACATAGTGCAAATATTGCTACACACTATAAAACCACTGATGAAAAGTATGCACTCACATATTCCAAAGAATATAAGCGTATTTAGGGTGCCTCCCCCTAAGTGTAAATGGGGGGTTATTCTCCTTTAATTCTCCCTCCTCAAGTGATAGCCAGTGGGGTATCCAGGTCAGCGAGAAGATCCAAACAACTGCAGCCAAAGGAATACTTCAAAGGCGATTTATTCACTTATAAAATTCAAGAGGTATATAAAAAATACATAAAAACAATATAAGAAAGAGATGCTGGTCCTACGCGTTTCGTCCTTATACAGAAGGACTTCCTCAGGGACCTCTTTCAGCACAAAATTCAATCACCAGAATTACAGAGAATAAAAAACAGCATCCTAAAAACGCTAACACATGAATAACCTTATATAGGGCTAATCCCTTCTAGTCATTGGTGGAATAGTGGGTGTTTTCTCTTCTTTTGACTCCTATTCGTCCAAGATTTCTTTTCTTCAGGTGTGTTCGCTTGATCGGAATGAAAAAAGCCGGGCTCGTTCCAAATTCAGCCACTTCCGCATACGTCGTACATTACGTTCGCGTCACGTGTTCCGTGATTTATCACATGATCATCATGCGTTCCACATTCGGGAAAAAAAAAGAATTTAACAAGTCCTCCAGACCGCCCAATAATAAGTGGCATTGAATCGATTACGGCAAATCTGTCTGCCTTTCTGGATTGTTATTTGCAAAAATATGCCCAAATGGCATTGTCATATACAAAGGATACAAAATCATTTTTGCAAGAAATTGAAAATCTGGAATGGCAGGAGGACTACAGCTGGGCCACATTGGATGTGACCTCGTTGTATACGGTTATTAGTCATAATCTTGGGTTAGAGGCAGTTGCTTTCTATCTAAACCAAGATAGAGATATTTCCATTGGTTTCAGATCCTTCATTCTGTGGGGTATACAGTTCATATTAGAACACAATTATTTTCTTTTTGATCAATCGTTTTACTTGCAACTGGTGGGTACTGCCATGGGCACCAGGTTCGCCCCCAGTTATGCCAACATATATATGCGCAGGTGGGAGGACCTCTGCGTATGGTTGGGTCATGACTGGGTGGAGAACCTGGTCCTATGGCGGCGGTATATAGACGACGTTATTATTATTTGGAAGGGGTCGGATTCTGAATTCATGACTTTTGTCAACCATTTAAATCGAAATGAGTATAATTTAAAGCTTTCTCCAGTATGGGACTGTAGAGAAATTAATTTCTTAGATCTCACCCTTTTAGTGAGGGAAGTGAGATCAAAACTAAATGTTTCTTCAAACCAACAGATGGGAACAGCTATGTTCATAAACGTAGTTGTCACCATCAGCCTTGGTTGAAGGGGATTACTAAGGGACAGCTTACTCGAGTAAGGAGGAACTGTTCCCATACTAAGGATTTTCAGATACAGGACCAACATATAGCCAATAAATTAGTTAAAAAAGGTTACAACCAGAAGCAAATTAGGAGGGAAATCCAGATGATGTCTAAAAGAAGTAGAAACGAGTTTTTAATGGATGGCCCTAGCAACAAGAAAAAGGGGGAAGACTTCAAACAAGCTTTTTTTACACAATATAATGTGGATCATCCAAAAATTAAAAGGAGTCTACAGAAATATTGGCCAATATTGTTGGAGGACCCCATTTTGGGGGAGCATTTGTCGAAAAGGCCAAAAATCATCTATAGGAAAAAACAAAATCTTAAGAACTTATTAGCACCCAGTTATGCTTTAAAAAATGGATTTAAAAATATTAAAAAAGGGATAAAAGGCTTCCGGGGTTGTAAAAGTTGTAAAGCCTGTTCTCAAGTAAATACAGACAAGGTTACATCATATAGTAGTTCCGTTACAGGGAAACAGTTTTCAATTAAATCAGAGATTGGCTGCCGCTCGGACTGTGTTGTGTATTTGCTTCAGTGCCCATGCAGGAGCCAATATGTTGGTCGCACAAAGAGATGTTTAAAAGTGAGACTTTTGGAACATATTAACAACATAAAGAAAAAATTAGATACTCATTCAGTCCCCCTTCACTGTAATAATTGTCCCCTGTTTTCTTTGAAGGGGCTACGCTGTATAGGGATAGAACAAATTCAACCCCACTGGAGAGGGGGTAATAAAGAAAAGCGATTGGCACAAAGGGAATCATATTGGATTCATAGGTTACGCACTCTTGCCCCAAGGGGATTAAATGTGGATATGGATATTGTCTGTTTTTTGAACTAACTAATTTTTAATGTGTAAAGATACACTTGAAATTGAGCATATATTACTCATGTCATTTTATTTAAATTGAATATGACATTGAGTATATGATTGGTTAATTATTTTAGTTTACACAACATGGATATGTAATTGAGTATGCAATAATTAATAAGTAATAATATTCACTGGTTAATTGTTTTAGTTTACACAATATGGATATGTAATTGAGCATGTAATAATTAATAAATAATAATTTTATGTCACTTAACATAATATAGATTTGCAAATAAGTATAATATCACTTATGTCACTTTAAAAAGATTATGCACTTTAATTGGTTCTGTTCATTATGTTAGTGTATTAGACATTAATGTCAATATATGAACATATGAATTTATTAATAATTAATTGCTATTATATATATATTTTTTGTAATACTATGATATATGTATTTTTTGTAATATTATGATAAATATTATGAATGGTCAACTTGGATAGGAAGTTGTTACACATTCATTATAAGAATAATATTTAGTGTTTTATTGTTAGAGGACAATTAATATAACATTTTAAATTCTCTCATATGATTCCTAATAGTTCTTTTGCTTCCAGTTATGTGTGTATAATTATTAGGTAAAAGAAAAACGATGTCCAGGCTGCCACTATGTGGAACGCACGTCCATTTTTTTCCCGAATGTGGAACGCATGATGATCATGTGATAAATCACGGAACACGTGACGCGAACGTAACGTACGACGTATGCGGAAGTGGCTGAATTTGGAACGAGCCCGGCTTTTTTCATTCCGATCAAGCGAACACACCTGAAGAAAAGAAATCTTGGACGAATAGGAGTCAAAAGAAGAGAAAACACCCACTATTCCACCAATGACTAGAAGGGATTAGCTCTATATAAGGTTATTTAGGTGTTAGCGTTTTTAGGATGCTGTTTTTTATTCTCTGTAATTCTGGTGATTGAATTTTGTGCTGAAAGAGGTCCCTGAGGAAGTCCTTCTGTATAAGGACGAAACGCGTAGGACCAGCATCTCTTTCTTATATTGTTTTTATGTATTTTTTATATACCTCTTGAATTTTATAAGTGAATAAATCGCCTTTGAAGTATTCCTTTGGCTGCAGTTGTTTGGATCTTCTTGCTGACCTGGATACCCCACTGGCTATCACTTGAGGAGGGAGAATTAAAGGAGAATAACCCCCCCATTTACACTCAGGGGGAGGCACCCAAATACGCTTATATTCTTTGGAATATGTGAATGCATACTTTTCATCAGTGGTTTTATAGTGTGTAGCAATATTTGCACTATGTTTTGTCCTCTATTGTAGGTACATCAGCAGAATCTCAAATATCCTATCAATTATACTGTTAAGAATATAATTTTGCCTCTTTATAAATCACTGGTAAGAGCCCATATTGAATATGCTGTGCAATTTTGGGCACCTTTTCTAAAGAAGGATATTATGGCACTAGAAAAAGTGCAGAGGCGGGCTACAAAATTAATAAAAGGAATGGAACAAATTGGCTATGAAGAAAGGTTAACAAATTTAAACCTATTTAATTTAGAAAAACATCGCCTGAGAGGGGATATGATAACATTATACAAATATATTCGGGGCCAATACAAACCATTGTGTGGAAATCTATTCACAAACCGGACTTTACATAGGACACGAGGACATGAGTTCAGACTGGAAGAAAGAAGATTTCGTCTAAGGCAAAGGAGAAGTTTTTTTACTGTAAGAACAATCAGGATGTGGAATTCTCTGCCTGAGGAAGTGGTTTTATCAAAGTCCATACAGATGTTCAAACGGCTACTAGATGCATACTTGCAAGAACAGAATATTCAAGGATATAATCTTTCAATGTAGGGTAATAACTGCTTGATCCAAGGATAAATCTGACTGCCATTCTGGGGTCAAGAAGGAATTTTTTTCCTGGCTTGTTGCAAAATTGTGCTTCAAACTGGGTTTTTTTGCCTTCTTTTGGATCAACAGCAAAAAACAAATGTGAGGTAGGCTGAACTTGATGGGCGCAAGTCTCTTTTCAGCTATGTAACTATGTAACTATGTAACTATGAGCAAGTATCCTTGATGTTTTGTTCCTATTAAAAATTATGAGTAAAACTATATTCTGTGTTAAATACACTTAATGTCATGTTAAGTAGTTGTGTTTGGTACATGTAATCAAGCAGCGATTGTGGAATCCAGATGTTTATCTACTACAAATCCCAGCAGCCTCAGACAATTCAGATTTTGCAA